CCGAGAGCTGCACTTCTGGCTTCTGACCTCTGGCTCTTGTCCCCCTTGTTTACTTCAGTTCTCACCTTCAGCTACCTAGGATAGGTCACCCCAGCCCTCCTCTGTCCCTCACTTCCCTCCAGGCTGTCATCTCTTTGGCCTCTCTAGGTTGTTTATGGAACCACAGAGAACAGTCCCGTGACCTTCATGAACTTTCCCGAGGACACCCTGGAGCAGAAGGCTGGGAGCGTGGGCAGAATTATGCCTCACACAGAGGTGAGCCCCTGACGGATGCCCTCAGCACCCACCTCCCACCACTTGAGGGCAGTTTTAGGGCTTACCACCAGACACCCAAACAACTCACTCAAATATAGAGGGCCCCAGCAATGGGGGCTTGTTGGACCTGGCCCCGCTTTGTGGGCTGAGGCGGGAAGAGCTGGAGGGGGGAGCTGGGACAGCAGCCCTGAACAGCCGCCAGCCGAACCTCTCCTTAGCCACCCTTCCTGTCTGAGGTGTGTTTTTGCCAAGCCCACTGTCTGTCTTGGGCAGCTAGGCCAGTCTCAAAAAGGAGCCAGAACACAGGGATTTTTTTTTCCCTTATGTAGCTTTATTTCCCCCAGGCCTTTGCCTCTCACTCTTCTCTTCTCTGAGCTTGACCTCTTCTTTGCCCAAGGTGTGTGTCCCTTGAAGGTCCCTTACACTTCAAAGGCCCCAGAATCCTCCTCAGTCTCAGACTCCTAGCTGTGACTCTTCTCTGGCTCCAACCATGTAGCTTTATTCAGATATGATTGAGTGTCCATGCCTCTCTGGGGTAACTTGGAGGATGCCCACACACTGGTTCTTCTCAGCTTCTCAGCCACCCTCTTTGGGATGTACCCTGAGGTTTGTCAGGGAGACAGCCTTCTCCCCATCCCTCAAAGGCAGACATGGAAGTACCCAGACCCACCTTCCCTTGGCTCATTGGCTGTGGCTCTTTGTCTGGTGGGATTGCGGGTTCTCTCTCTCTCTCTCCCGATCACGTGGCACTGCCCTGCCGTCATCTTCAGCTTCTTTGTTGCCCTGTGGGAAAAGAGGAGAGACAGTGGTTGTCCCCTCTACATGGTTTATAATTCAGCATCTGGCATGGCGCTCCACAGGCCTCCTTTAAGACTGCTTACTACCCAGCCCTGTCCCCAGCATCCCATGTAAAAATACAGCCAGGGCAGGAATTTAAAAGGCACGTGGCATCCCTCCATACACACTCCCCATGGTTCTGGCCCGATGTGGGTCTCTTCATGGAAATGGATCTATTCTATCCTCTCTTTCCTTTCTCTGGACTGGGATGAGTAGGGCCAGAAGCTTCATTTCTGAGAGGGTGAGGAGAAGAAACAACCCCCCCCATCCCCAACCCTCACCCCCATCCCACCCCTATCTCCAAGGAGCCTATCCCCAAAGCAAGAGCTCGGGAGGCTCAAGCTGAAAACTCACCTGTCCCAGGCCCAGATCGTGAACATGGAGACAGGGGAGCTGACCAAACTGAACATGCCTGGGGAGCTGTACATCCGAGGGTACTGCGTCATGCAGGGCTACTGGGGCGAGCCACAGAAGACCTTTGAAACGGTTGGACAAGACAAGTGGTATCGGACAGGGTGAGATACAGAGACAATGTGGACACTGGCTACCAAATGAGGCTGGGGGTCTAAGGCTGAGCTAGGAGAACTGAACTAGCACACAGAGGAAAATGGGAATTAGCAGGATCCCCCTTGACCTAGAGACTTGGTTTCCAAAATTTGTCTGGGCGTGTAGGTTAGTAATGGGTCTAGTTCTTGGATGCTATATGGGAAACTGTAGATTCAGTCCCCAGTGTTGGGGTGGGGGGGGGGGCTCCTCCAAGGCTCACTGGAGATGTATCTTAGTCTCCTTATCTACTAGGCATGAGCTACTGGATTCAGTCTTCAGGACCACATAAACCGGCATGGTGAACGTGCCTGTAACCCCAACACATGGTAGAGAGGAGTCATAGGATCAGAAGTTCAAGATTATCCTTACCTATATAGTGAGTTGAGAGCTAGCCTGAGCTACGAGAGACCATGTGTCCAAAAATGGGGAAAAAAATAGATTGTAGATGCAGCTCTGTGGTAGAGTGCTGCTTGCCTAGTATGCATGTAGCCCTGGGTTCTATCCCCCACAGGGTCTCATAGTCCCCAGGGCATGGTGGTGCATGTGTTTGTAATCACAGGAGTATTCAATGTTCAAGGTCACCTTCCTGAGACTCAGTCTCAAAACAAGCAACAAGAACAAAATTTCCCCAAGTCAAAATGTGTGTCATGGGGTGAACCTGCTTCTCTCAGAGATAAGACACCAGGGTAACACACAACTTTTGCATCTCCAGAATCCGAGCCAGTTTTCAGTGTGTTGTTTATTAATGAGCGGACCAGGACAAGAGCGGCGAGCTCTTACCCTCTGCGTCAGCAGTCTGGTCCCTAGGTTTCTTTTTTCTTTTTTTCTTTTTTCATTTCTTTTCTCCTTTTCAGCCCAGAGCTGAGGACTGAACCCAAGGCCTTGTGCTTGCTAGGCAAGTGCTCTATTACTGAACCAAACCCCCGACCCATCCACGTGTCCTTTATTAGGTCCGCACATTCTCCGTATACACCTGCTATGTGCCATTGTGGTTTTCCACTGGACGGGCCAGTAGGAAACAAGATGAGAGAGGGCTTGCTTCTCCTTCCCAAGCATGTCTGGTGGAAGGAGACAGAGAATTTCAGACATCAAAAAAAAAAAATATATCAAATGGGGTCACAGGAGGGGAAGTGGCTGTGGTGGAGAGACAGGGTCAGAGAAGGCCTCTGGAAACATTTGAGCTGAGACCTAAATGATTCAAAAAAGAAGCCAGCTATAAAGGAGAGCTCTATGTAAATAGGAAGACAGAGGATGCGATGGGTGCTACACTGATTTTTTTTTCCTATCCTTCCAGTCTGGCCTGTAGGCTCCAGAGGTGTTTTTGTTCCTAGGTGTTTGGGACTCCTAGAGTCTAGAGCAGTGGGGGACACACAATAGATGCTCAATAAATGATTCTGTGACAGAGTGAACAAGGAAACTAGTGGGCTAGCCCAGTCAAGCAGAGGCGAGAGGCCACTCCTGGGTGTCTTGTTACAGAGACATTGCGTCGATGGATGAACAGGGCTTCTGTAAGATCGTCGGCCGGTCGAAGGATATGATCATCCGGGGCGGTGAAAATATCTACCCTGCCGAGCTGGAGGACTTCTTCCACAAACACCCACAGGTGCAGGAAGTGCAGGTGAGGCCCTGGGGATCCAGGGTCACTCCCAGGTTAGCTGAAGAAGGGGTTCGCCTTCGGTCTCTGTTGCTGCAATGAAACACCATGATGAAAAGCAAGTTGGGGAGGAAAGGGTTTCTTTCATCTTACACTTCCACATCAGAGTCCATCATCAAAGGGAAGTCAGGGGCTGGAATTTAAGGCAGGAACCTGGAAGCAGGACCTGAAGGAGTGCTATTTACTGGTTTGCTCTCCATAGCTTGCTCAGTCTGCTTTTAAAAACAACACCCAGGACCACTAGCCCAGGGATGGCACCGCCCACAGCTGTCTCTTCCCACAGCAATCATCAATCAAGAAAATATAGCATAGGCTTGCCCAAAGGCCAACATGGTAGGCATATTTGTTTCAGTTGAGGGTCTCTCTGTCCCAAATGACTTTAGCCTGTGTCGAGTTGACATTAAAAACTAGCCAGGTTTGATGTGTGGTATTTGTCTCTGACCTTGGATAGGTGATTGGGGTGAAGGATGAGCGGATGGGGGAGGAAATCTGTGCTTGCATTCGGCTGAAGAGCGGAGAGATCACCACAGAGGAGGAGATCAAAGCTTTCTGCAAAGGGAAGGTGGGAGCCCCAGACACCCCCACTCACTCACCTACCTCTTCCTGTCATTCATCCTGGGTGGCCATGGGGCTGTGCTGCCCTGATGGATCTAACTCCCCAGCCGGATGAACACTCTGACCTTGCCCAGCCTCACACTTTCTCTCTCTGGTCTGCAGATTTCTCACTTTAAGATTCCCCGATACATCGTGTTTGTTGAAGGCTACCCTCTTACCATCTCAGGAAAGGTGTGTGATGTGAAGACTAGAGGGGGCAGGGCAGTGTGGGGTCCTGTGAAGCCTGGCAATAGGAGGACCCAGAAGTCACTTCATCCTGATTTGCCCTGGGCTTTAGCACTTGGCCCCCTTCCCCACTGTCCTTCCCAGGCAAACCAAGGATGGTTGGTTACCATAGCACCCCAGTGTAGACTCTCTCTCATTCCTTGTTTTTCTTCTAGATCCAGAAATTCAAACTCCGAGAGCAGATGGAACAGCATCTAAAACTGTGAATCAAAGGAGGGTCCTCTCAGCCCTCCCAGAACCCTTCAGTCCTCACACACAAAGGAGGGTCCTCCCAGCCCTCCCAGAGCCCCTCAGTCTTCACACACATAGGAGGGTCCTCCCAGCCCTCCCAGAGCCCCTCAGTCCTCCTACACAGAGGAGGGTCCTCCCAGACTTTTCCAGCCCTCTAACACAAAAGAGAGCCCTCCCACACCTTCCCAGCCTTCCAAGGTTCTCCTAAATCCTCCCACACAAAAGAGGGTCCTCCCATACCCTTCCCAGCCCTTCCGGAGCCCCTCAGTCCTTCCACACAGAGGAGGATCTTCCCAGTCCTCTCAGAGCCCCTCAGTCCTCCCACACAGAAGAAAGTTGTCCCAGCCTTCCCAGGGCCCCTCAGTCCACCACAGAGGAGGGTCCTGTGTCCTTCTCATGCCCCTTGTCATCTTTGTGACTTGGTATAAAGATTTCCCTGTTTGGCCAGTGTCTGGCTGGTGTGCTCTCTCTGTAGCCCCTGTGGAATGGAGAAGGGAAGAGACAGGAAGGCAGCCAGCACCTTCAGACCCAATGTCCCAGCCCTTTGCTGTGTATTAGATACTTAATCTAAGCCCCACTCTGTCCTCTTGAAATTTCAAGCCTCTCTCTCTCTCTCTCTCTCTCTCTCTCTCTCTCTCTCTCTCTCTCTCTCTCCCTCCCTCTTTCTTTCTTTTTTTTTTTGTTTTGTTTTCCCTTGAGACTGGATATTCCTCTGTACCACTGGCTGTACAGGGTAGATCAGGATGGTTTTGAACTCACAGAGCTCTCATTGCCTCTGCCTCTGGAGTGCTGAGATCAGTCTTTTGTGCTACCTACCATGCCTGGTTTTTGTATGCCTTACTCATTTAATAATTTTTAAAATTGTGACTACAGATCAGTCATGAAGTAAATGTTTGATTTTTACTTGTTTGTTTTCCAAGGCTGGGAATCTTAAAGGCCCTCACAAGTACATAAGGACCTTTCCACTGGCCTACACTTTAAAGGCCCTCACAAGTACATAAGGACCTTTCCACTGGCCTACACTCCCAGCCCAATAATTATTGATTTTATTTTTGAAATAACAGTTTTGAGTGCTGGAGAGGGGGCTGGAGAGTTCTGGCTGCTCTTCCAGAGGATCCAAGTTGGATTCTCAGCACCCACATTTGGCAGCTCACAGCTACCTTTAAGTCCACCTCCAGAGGACTGATGATCTCTTCTGGCCTCCAAGCCTCCCCCTCCCCCCCCCGAAGTGTGTGGTATATGCTTACATAGACATATGCAAATAAATAAAAATAAATCTGTAAAATAACAGCCTTATTGAACTGTAACTCACATCCTTTCCAGAGCACCCATTTTTTAAAAGCATTTGCCCCAGCATCTTAATTTGCATAGATGTATAACAAGTACCAAAGCCAACTTTAATCAAGGTCGACATTGATGTCACAGTCAGGTGGTGGTGGCACACGCCCTAATCCCCAGCACTCAGGAGGCAGAGACAGGAGGGTCCCTGAGTTTGAGACCAGCCTGGTCTACAGAATGAGTTCTAGGACAGCCAGGGTTACACAGAGAAACCCTTTCTTGAAAACCACCAACAAAAGCCAGCCAAATTTGCTGTCACCTCCTAAAGAGCAGCTGAAGGGGCTGGAGAGACAGATCAGTGTTAGGAGACTGCTCTTGCAGAAAACCTGGGCTTGCTTCTCAGAACCCACATGGTGTTTCACAACCATCCGTAATTTCAGTTCCAGGAGATCCTGCACCCTCTTCTGGCCTCTGTGGGCCTCATGTGCACAATGCACACACACACACACACACACACACACACACACACAGGTAAAACACTTGTATATATTAAACTATTCTTTTGTTTTGTTTTTTAAGACAGAGGTTTCTCTGGGTAGCCCTGGCTGTCCTGGAACTCACTCTGTAGACCAGGCTGGCCTCAAAGTCAGAGATCCACCTGTTTCTGCCTCCTGATCGCTGGGATTAAAGGCATGCATCATCATCACCCAGCTTCATTAAACATTTTTTAAAAGGTTGATTTCTTTTATGTGCATGGATGTTTTGCCTGCACAGATGTTCATGTACCTCAGGCATGACAGGCACCCTCAGAGGTTAAAAGAAGAGGTTAGATCTCCTGGAATGGTTATGAACCACCATGTAGGTGCTGGAAACTGAATGCAGGTCCTCTTGCAAGGGCAATAAGTACACTTAACCAGTACTCACACCTCCAATCCCAGCACTTGAGAGGCAGAGGCAGGTGGATCTCAGAATTTGAGGCCAGCCTTGTCTACACAGCAAGTTCCAGGACAGCCAGGGCTACACACAGAAAACCTGTTTCAAAAACAAAACAAAAACTAAACAAAAACCCCACAAAACAACAACAAAAATCCAACTCTGTGATCTTGCTGGGTATGGTGGCATAAGGCTTGTAATTTCACTACTTTGAAAACAGAAGCAACAGGAATATGACATTAGGCTAGAACAAAGAAGTAATTTCAGGCAGGAATCTAAATTTTAGTCTAGAATAAGGAAGTAGGCTTGAAAATGACTTTGGGCTAGGATAGGGAAGTTGACTCAGATATTTTGGTCATCCTGATAAGTCCTTAGAAACAGTGATCACAGGACTTCGTTTATTGCCTTGCTTGTTCTTTGACTATTTGTATTTATTGTCTTGCTTGTTCCTGGACTATTTGCATCTATTGTATTGCTAGTTCCTCAACCTAAAACTGACCTTAATACTTGCATGTAATTAAAATGGTATAAAAGCAAAAAAGGAGGAGTAGGGATGGGATAGGGGGTTTATGGGGTTGGAATAGGGAAAGGGGATGACATCTGAAATGTAAATAAATAAAATATCCAATAAAGAAAAGAAAACAGAAGCAAAGTGATTGCTCCAGGTTCATGGCTAGCGTAGGCTACATAAGGATTGGTGGTTTGAATATGCTTCTACCAGGGAATGGCATTATTAGGAATTTCGGCCTTGTTAGAGTAGGTCTGGCCTTGGAATATGTGTGTCACTGTGGGAGTGGGCAATGAGACCCTCCTTCTAACCACATGGGTGCCAATCTTCTCCCGTCTGCATTTGGATGAAGATGTTGAACTCTCAGCTCCTCCTGCACCATGCCTGCCTAGATGCTGCCATGCTCCCACCTTGATGATAATGGACTGAACCTCTAAACCTGTAAGCCAGCCCCAGTTAAATGTTGTCCTTTATAAGAGTTGATTGTAGGGTCTGTTTACAGAAGTAAAACCCTAAGAAAATGACTTTGTCTCCAAAAACAAAACAATGACCAAAAGTCCAAAGCAACAACATCAACACACAGGGCTGTCCTGGCTGTGCAGTCTGCAGCCCCTGAGCTCTGCAGCCCCAAGCTGCCCCAGTACCAACTCCTTACTAGAGAAGAGGTAAACTGTTCCTCAAAGGACAAGGCACCATTCCGGATGCCTTCACACACATCTTCTCTGGAAAGCTTCCCAGAAGTCACATTAAGTAAGCATCAATCCATCTACTTCACAGAGGTGACCTTGAAACACAAGAAGATCTACTTTCTAACCCAAGGACCTGAAGTTACCTGATAGGTTAAAGAAAATCTCCCCAGCACAGCTTCAATTCTCCCAGACTTGTATTTCATTTCTTATCACTTCTTCCTCTCTCTTTTTTTAAGTAAGACAGAAACCCTTAGGCTGACCGCAAATTCTTGGTAATCCTCAACCCCCCAAATGCTGACAATACTCTTGTGAGTCCCTATTCCTGACAAGTTTTGTGTTCTTTCTTCTGTTGTTGAGCCTAACACCACTATCTAGAGATCTCTATGAGTCTGAGGCCAGCCTGGTCTACATAGTGAGTTCTGGACCAGCCAGGGCTATATAGTGAGACCCTGTTTTAGAAAAACAACAACAGCAAAAATCAAACCTAGACCCAGACAAGCAGAATTCGATCATGTGTAAGTTTTGTTTTAGATTCACATAAGTGGTGTGTCCCCAACTTTTGCTGAAGCAAGATTAATAATCTTAGTGTCTTAGTTAGGGTTTTACTGCTATGAACAGACACCATGACCAAGGCAACTCTTATAAGGACAACATTTAATTGGGGCTGGCCTACAGGTTCAGAGGATCAGTCCATTATTACCAAGGAGGGAGCATGGCAGCATCCAGGCAGGCATGGTACAAGAGGAGCTGAATTCTACATCTTAGTCTGTGAGGAGACTGGCTTCCATGCAGCTAGGATGAGGGTCTTATAGTCCACACCCACAGTGACACACCTACTCCAACAAGGACACACCTCCTAATAGTGCCACTCCCTGGGCTGAGCATATACAAAGCATCACACTTAGTGTCTACCCCTCTGTGGTTTGCACCCCTTTCTGCTTTAAAAGATGTATAAAAGGAGACCGGTGAGAGAGGTCAGTGGATAAGACATTTGTCATCAAGCTTGGTGTCCTGAGTTTGATCTTTGGGACCCTCAACGTAGAGGCAAGGGACTGAATCCCCTTGGTTTGTCCTCTGATCTTCACACAAGCACTGTAGTACGGTGCCCGTGCACACGCACACACGCGCACACGCAAATAAACAAATGAAAAAATGCAAAAAAAAAACCCCACAAGTAACGGTAATAGCAAGATGGTAGGTAAGGGATTTTGACCAGTCATTTCTCAGGGCAGTTTTCTTCTCCCAAGACTGTCTGTCTCCTGAGCCATTAGATCATTGGCAGGAGATGTAGCTCTCTTAGACCCAGCTGTCTGAAGACGTTTTAATTTGCGCTGGTCATCAACTTGTTTGGGCTCCATGGGCAGAGTAGTCAGTCATATTTCATGAAGCCTGTGTATTACAGCAAGGGAGAGGAGAAGGCCAGGACGCCCTGAGGCTGATGTCCTCGGCTTGGGCGAGCTGCCTGGTGTGGACGGAGTCTCATCTGTGTATCCCACTCCAACTGCAGCTAAAGAACAAGGAAACTCTATTGTATGCTCTAGGGCTACATACTGTTGGGCTAACACACTGAAAGACAATCCTGTTTTTAGAGGGGACTAGAACAGAGAGCACAGACTGTTCTGACTGGTTCCTCCTGGATGTTGTACTCCCAACACTTCACTTTCTTGAAGAAGAGCGAGTAAGAACTGCTTTACCATCGATGACTCGTGCGTGACTCCAAAGCCCATGATCTTTCTGTCCTGGGGGACAGTCCCTCCAAGCCTCTTACATGTGTCCTGCCTCTCCTGCGCACACCATCTCTTCTCTACCCATCTCTTCCATCCGATGCCAGGACTGGCCTGACTCAGAGACCACTGCTCACTCTCCCTGCCCAACTGATTCCCTGTGGAGGTAGGATTCTTTTCTTTTTCTCTTTCCCCTCTCTCCCTCCCTTCCTTTTAAAAAATATTTATTTTATTTCATGTGTTTTGCCTGCATATGTTTGCACACCACATTCCTGCTGGAGAAAGTCTGGTGCTTCAGACTTACAGATGGTTGTTAGCCACAGTGTGTGTGGGTGCTGGGTCCTCTGCAAGAGCAGACAGTGATCTTAACTGCTGAGCCATCTCTCCAGCCCCTCTTCCTCTTTTTTGAAACATTGTCTCATGTAGTCAGGCCTGGATTATAGAACAGTACTGCCACACACGCCTTTTTTTTTTTTTTTTAAACAGTTTGGGGCTGGAGAGATGGCTCAGCGGTTAAGAGCACTGACTGCTCTTCCAGAGGTCCTGAGTTCAATTCCTAGCAACCACATGGTGGCTCACAACCATCCGTAATGAGATTCAATGCCCTCTTCTGGTGTGTCTGAAGACAGCTACAGTATACTCATAAATAAAATAAATAAATCTTTTTTTAAAAAAAAAACAAACCAGTTTGATTTATATTTGCATTTTTATTTTTTTAAATGCATGTGTTGTTCTGTCTGTATGTACGCCTGCATGCCAGAAGAGGGCATTAGATCACTTTATAGATGGTTGTGAGCCACCATGTAGTTTCTGGGAATTGAACTCGGGACCTCTGAAAGAGTAGTCCGTGCTCTTAAACTGCTGAGCCTTCTCTCCAGCCTCAGGCTTTACTTATTTTTTTTCATTTGTTTGTTTAAATGTAATTGGGTATTTTGCTTGCGTGTATGTCTGTGTACAGCATTTATGCCACAATTGTTTATTTTATTATTGTGTCTGTGTATATTATGTGCACACATGAATTTGCTAGAAAACACACATGGAGGCAAAAGGTCCACGATGCGGAGCAAGGCTCTCTTCCACTACATATTTGGCATCTAGGGACCATTCAGCTTTGTAGGGCAACTGTCCGTTCCTTGCTGAGCCATCATGTCTTCCCCTCTTTTGTTTCTTTGAGATAGGCTCTCACAGTGTAGCCCAGGCTGGCTTGGAACTCCCACAATCCTCCTGTCTAGCTTCCGGAGTTCTAGTATTACAGGTGTGAGCCACCGCCCCCGGCTTCCAGCGACTTTCTGCTCCTCTAATACTCAGCCCATGAGCTTCCTTCCCGCTGACTCGCATGCTTCTGGAGGCCCACCACCTCACATCCAGTTAGCCAGTACCGAGTTAACTCTTGACTTGGTTAGTGTCTCCCCTTCCAGTTAAGACTGTGACCTGATTTTAGGCACCTATGTCGGTCTAGCTTTCAGATCTAAGCTAGGTACACAACAATCTGGAAAAAAAACCAAAAACCTAAGAATTCTTGCATGGGTCAAGAAAGTCGCTCTGGCTCAAGAGGCTGGCCGGCCATCCCACGCCCTTGGCAAAGGACAGACAGGCTGTGTCCTTGGGAACGAATAGGCTGTGAGTACAAGTGTCCAGCAGGTGGCGCCGCAGACCCGAGGCTTTGGGCTCTCTAGCCACTCCGGGAGAGGCAATACGAGGTCACGCAGCCCCTCTGACTTCCGCCGGGGCGACCCACGCGGCCCAGCTTAGGGCACACATTGGGAGCGCTGTCGAGGTCTCGCATTCTTACTTTCTGCCGCCTTGTGCGCCATGGTTCCCTCCCGGGTCCGGACCAGTAGATGGGTGGCAGCGGCCAGGGCGGCCCAGAGGCGCCCCCGTGTGGACAGCCTGGGACAGCCTCCGAGTCCTGAGTCCGCGAGCACGCGCGCGGCGCTTTACGTGCACGTGAGTGAGCAGGGGAGAGCAGAAGGAGACGGTGGCCGTGGCTGGCACTTGTTCCGCCGATAGTCCACCTGCACTCTATGCGTGCCCCAACATCACATCTGGCATAGCATCTGTCCACGTCCTACCCCACCGGAATAAATGTTGAGCCAAAGACCTCAAGTCTGGTGCTCACTAGCTGGGTGATCCTTTGGAACTTGTTTTGTCTCACTGAAGTGGGCATAGTAATCTCATTGCCGTCTGCCCACGGGGCGCAGAGTGGCTTAGTTGGTCGCAGCCACCGCTGACCAACTTCAGAATGAGAACGGGGATGTGTGGGATAAACCCTGAAGTGGCCTGGGCAGCCCAGAGCCCCGCCCTAGCTCATGCAAGCATCCCCTGTCCCCAGTGGCCTTATTGCGAGAAGCGCTGCAGCTACTGCAACTTCAATAAGTACATCCCCCGCGGCGTGGAGGAGGGGGCCGTGCGAAATTGCCTGGTGACCGAGGCAAGGACGCTGCTGCGGCTCAGCGGGGTGCAGAGGTCGGTACTGGGGACAGTAGACAAAGTCTTGGGGGCGGTGGGGGGGAGGACACTACAGGAGGACATCCCCCAGGGGCTTTCCCCGGGTTTTATGTTTCTATCCTCTTCCTCCAGGGTGGAGTCTGTGTTCTTTGGTGGAGGAACCCCGAGTCTGGCCAGTCCCCACACGGTGGCTGCTGTCCTGGAGGCGGTGGCACAGGAAGTCTACCTGCCCGCAGATTCGGAAGTCACCTTGGAGGCCAACCCCACTTCAGCCCCAAGTCCCAGGCTGGCAGCTTTTGGAGCAGCAGGAGTGAACAGGTTGTCCGTTGGTTTACAGGTGACCTATCTGACTCACCCTACCCCAGTGCTCCCAGACCCTAGGGTACTCAGTCATTGGGAAAACATTTCTGGGTACCAGGATCTAGTACACAGTAGACTGTATAGTGACTTTTTTTTTTCTGTTTATCTCTTGATATATTGGCCCATACACTTCCTGAGGCAGGCGTTGGCATTATTGTTATTATTATTGTTGTTGTTGTCTTTGTTATTTTGAGACAGGATACCCTATAGCTCAGGCTAGCCTCAAATTTGATATGTAGCCAAGGATGACCTGGAGTTCCTGATTCTTCTGCCTCCATCTTAGTAAGAGGATTACAGGCATGTGTCACCATGCCCAGTTTATATGGTAATAGAGATCAAACCCCAAGGCCTGTAGGCAAGCGTCCTACAAAGAGCTGTATCACTAGCTTCGATGATGATGAGGAGGATGAGGAGGAGGAGGAGGAGGATGGCTTTGAGACAGGAACTCCCACTGTAGCCCAGGTTGGCCTCAAACTCGCAGCAATCTCCCTACCTCAGCCTTCCAACTCCCAGAATTACAGGCACAAGGCCCAGCTGGTTTAACCCTTTATAGTCTAGTCATTTAACGTAGTACCTGCCACATGGTAGGGGCTGCCCAGGTGTGGATGGGGGATGGCACAGTGGCTGAAGCCCTCACTGGGCAAGTGTGAACAGACACTTGGACCCTCGGCACCCACACGAGTGCCGGCCAGGCATAACAGCCTGCCTGTAATCCCCGGGTATGACAGCCTGCCTGTAATCCCAGCACTTGGAGGCACAGATAAAGGAATCCTCTCTTCACCTTGTTTAATGCTGGCTAGCCAGACTTAACCGCATCAACTGTGGTTTTGACTCAGTGAGTAAGGTAGCAAAAAAATTAAGGAAGATGGGCTGGAGACATGGCTCAGAGGTTGAGAGTGTTGGCTGCTCTTCCAGAGGTCCTGGGTTCAATTCCCAGCAACCACATGATGATTCATAACCATCTGTAATGAAATGAGATCTGGTGCAGGCATGTATGCAGGCAGAATACTGTATATATAATAAATAAATCTATTAAAAAATTAAAGAAGACCCCCAGTATCAACCCTGGGCTTCTGCAAATACACACACACACACACACACACACACACACTCATCCCCGCCCTCACACACATGTGAACACATATAGACACAGGCACATTTCATGTGTACAGACATGAAAGAAAGGAAGGAAAAAAACAGGGTGTGGCTTGTTCTGTGATTGGAGACATGGCAGGCTGGCAGCCGGACCATGGCATGGCAAATGCTACCTCTAGAGGAACCTAGGAAGACTTAGAGTGCTGAGGGAAGCCTAACCTGGTTAAATCCTGGAAGCCTTCCTGGAGGAAATGATGTGTATGTGAGACAGAGCAGGTGTTTACCAGGTAGTGGGGTGTGGGAGGAAAGGGCACAAGGTGTGGAAGAACTTTGCATGTTTAGGGGAGAAGCTGTATCATTCCAGTGACTGGTGAGGTTGGAGACACGGCTGCCAAACAGGACCGAAAGCCTTCAGGTCCTGTGGGAGTTTGGGGTTTCTCCCATTGGAGAGCCTCTGAAGGTGTGTTTATGAGTCAGGAGAAATCTCTCTAGGTTGACCTCTGTTGACCTCTGTCATTGGTGTCTCCAGGACTGCCATCCCTGTGACCCCCCCATTTACCACAGGGTGCTTCCGGTGGAGCACGTCACCTAGGGTCATAGAAAAGCCTGAAAGAGGTGTACCATGTCTACATGTTCTTGCTCAAAACACTTCCTTTATTTTTAAAATTCCCCACCCATCCTGTTTGATTTTTTGAGACAGGGTTTCCCTGTGTAGCCCTGGCTGTACTGGAACTCACTCTGTAGACCAGGGTGGCCTCGAACTCAGAGATGCCTCTGCCTCCCAAGTACTGGGATTAAAGGCCTCATGGCCCACCACCACCCAGCTTCTCTCTCTGTTTTTAATGACAAGGTCTTACCGTCCACTCTGGCCTGAAACTTGTTATGTAGCTTCAGGCAGCTTTGAACTCCTGATCCTCCTGTCTCCACCTCCCCAGGTAATGAGATTGCAGATGTGCAATACCACACCTGGCTTCTACTTATGAGGAAACGTCAGGCAAAACTAAATTAAGAGACGTTTGGGTCTGAATGTGGTAGGGGCACAATTGTCATCTCACTACTCAGGAGGCTGAGACAGGAGGGTAGCCGTGAGTTCAAAACCAGCCTGAGCTCTTTACTGAGACGCTGTCTCAGAAGGAAGCAAGCAAGCCAGACCTTTGGAAACTGGTGGTTATGCTTTGTTGTGCATAGATAGGGACCCTACTGAGCCTTTATGCTTGAGCTAACTGAAAACATAAAAAGTTAATTTAAAGAAGGGCCATCGAGATGGCTTAGTGGATAAAGAGGCTTGCTGCCAAGCCTGATGACCTGAGTTCTATTCCCTGTCAGAACTTACATGGTGAAAGGAAAGACCCAACTCGTCCAACTTAACCTTTGACCTCTATATAATCACTGTTGTGGACCCTCAATAATTAATATAAATATATCATAAACATGGTAAATACAAAATATGTTTGTTTTTATAATAAATATTAAATATATGCTTTTATAATAAATATAATAAAGTCTCTTATAATATAATGAAATATAATAAATGTAACAATAAATATAATAACAATATTATATAATAAATATAAAAACAATACAAAAATAATTTAAATATAATAAATATAAAAGTATTAGGGATGAAAAGCCTGTTGGATTTAGAATCACCCACTTCCAAATTCCTGGTCTGACATTGCAGTTACTTGCTATCTCTGAACCTTAGCTTTCTCATCTGTCAAATAGAACTGATGGCTGAGCACTGTGGCCCACGACTCTCCTCCCAGTGCTCAGCAGGCAGAGGCAGGATACCCCACAAGTCTGAGGCCAACCTGGGCTACTTAGTAAGTTCCGTCTAGTCAGCACTATAGTAAGACCCTGCCTCAAGAGGAAAAAAAAAACAAAAGAGAGAATTTTAAGGGTTAAATGCACCCTTCCTTGAGGAGTAGCTCTCTGGGTCTGCCTTGACTCACTGCCATCTGCCTGTTGTGTGTCCGTCACATCTGTGCCCTAAATAAGGCTGACTGCTGCTGCCTCCCTCGGGGACAGCATTTACACCAGACCCTCTCTCTGCAGTCCCTGGATGACACGGAGCTGCAGCTGCTGGGCCGGACTCACTCAGCCAGCGACGCTTTACGGACTCTGGCGGAGGCCAAGAACCTTTTCCCTGGCAGAGTGTCGGTGGATTTGATGCTGGGGTTACCGGCACAAAAGGTGGAGCCATGGCTTCAACAGCTTCGGAAACTGCTGGACCACTGCGACGACCACCTCTCCCTCTACCAGCTGACCCTGGAACGGGGCACATCACTCTTTGCCCAGGTACAGCAGGGTACCCTCCCGGCCCCTGACCCGGACCTGGCTGCTGAGATGTACCAGGAGGGCAGGACAGTTCTTCGAGACGCTGGCTTTCGCCAGTATGAGGTCTCCAACTTTGCACGGAACGTGAGTGCAGCAGGGCCGATGACAGGCGGGGGGTGATGGTGGGTGGGCGGTGGAGTGTGGTGGGGGTGGGGAGGGATGGGGAGTGAGGGTGGTGGTGATGTACAGAATTAGAGGGCTGAGATATGACCATGAGGCCTTTTGAAGAGAAGGGTTCCTGCTGGGTGCTCTGAGACCTGGGAATTGGGAAAATTCCAATCAGATGACCACGACCTGAACAGAAGCCAACATCACCTACTTCTGTGCTGACGATTCCCATTTTCCCCCACAGGGGGCGCTCAGTACCCACAACTGGACGTACTGGCAGTGCGGTCAGTACCTTGGCATTGGGCCTGGTGAGTCGATCCTTAACAACCGAAAGCATGATTCAGGAGAGGAACATTCTGGTTGTGTGAACTTGGACTGCTCATTTAGCCACTCAGAGCCTGCATTTCCTCATGCAAAGTGCACACAACCTCTCTGTGGAACTGTGGAATGCGAATTTTCAGGCCTTTGCAGCCTGGTTCTTTCTGAGTCTGGCAGAGATGAGAAGCCCCTGGGGGCTTGTTACAACCCAGAATGCTGGTCCTTACCTCCAGGACGTCTTATGGGCAGGGTTGGAGCAGGGCCTGAGGATTTACGTTTATAGTAGTTGCTTCAGGGACCACCCTTGGAAAAAAACCCTGATTTCAATCTGATAGTTCACCACGTTAGCTTCTATTAATATATGTGTGGTGGTTGTTTATTGCTATCCTCAGGAGCCCATGGACGATTTGTGCTCCAGGGAGCTGGAGGCCATACCCGGGAAGCACGGATCCAGACACTGGAGCCAGACAACTGGATGAAAGAAGTGATGCTCTTTGGTCATGGCACCCGGAAGTGCATCCCCCTGGGCAAGCTGGAGCTGTGAGTACCTGAGTACACAGGGCTCTTCCCCAGGGTCTCCTCCTGCACACTGGGAGCTCCTCCGTGCTTTTACATCTTTCCTACCTGCTTTGCCCCTCCCATTTTGCCTCCTACCGCGTGAGTTCTAAGCACACTGTTACATCCCAGCACTGGGTTCAAAGAATGTGAGGTCTCTAAGGTCCCGTGGTGATTCTCTTTCAGGCTGGAGGAGGTTTTGGCTATGGGGCTTCGAACTGATGTGGGGCTCACTCACCAGGTAAAGGACTGGGGGTTCTCAGATACTATTAGCTCCTCCTCAGAGTTAGAGAATCGCTCTCTTGCTTTCTTTCTCTTGCTCTGTCCTCTTGGCCCTTACCCCCTCTCTACTCCCCTCCCGCCATCTCTCAACATGCTTATGGCTCTCTCTCTCTCTCTCTCTCTCTCTCTCTCTCTCTCTCTCTCTCTC